TGGATCTCTTGAAGCATAGACAGAGGCACCATTTGAAGATGACGAAGAAATGATATGATATTGTAATTGGTTGCATATTCACTTTTACATTTGTGTTTTCTGTACGGATATTCATGTTAATAAAATCTTTGCTTTTATACCTTTGTAGTTTTCTTTAAATGGCCATTTTTACCTTTCATGTACTCTTATTCTGTTTTGAATGCAGTTTGTTTATAGATTATCATGTCCTTACTTTTATGTTTGTAGTTTCTTTATAGATTATTTATGAGTTCTAGCTCCGAGAGTTCTTCTAGTGAGAGTGAGCAATCAAGCTCTAATAGTTCTAGTTCAGATGAGACTCATGCCACACTTAAGATGAGAGTCATACCCGATCCACCGGCATCATGGCATCCACCAGGCAGTCTTCCTACCACATCACGTAGCGGTAGTACATCACATGGCTCAGTTTCAGCTGGTATGCATAGATATTTTTAATTGTGCTTGTTTTCTCTAAAGATCTAAAAATAATGTTTGCTAATTTGAAATAATGTTGTATGGATATTCTTCAATTTAGATTTAAAAATAATGTCAAACAAAAAAGGAAAAAAGTAAAAAGATAAAGATGAGAGTAAACAGATCATAGAATGCATAAAACATATAAAGATGAGAGTAAACAGATCATAGAATTCATGATGGTCATGCACATGCACATTTACATTTTCTTGCTGTTGCAGTAGTATATATATATATATATATATATTTATATTAAATCAATTATTTGGCCCCGTTTTTGTTTTTTTATAGGTCCTAGCTCAAGTCAAGCCACACAAAAGCAGACAAGGGGTCCCACATATGTACATGGTCAATGGGGTACTTCAGATGATGGCATTTTAAAACTTGTTTCAAATGAGTTGAATCAAGTAGTTGAAGGATACACACCCCTTGCTTCACATTTGGGCGTTCTGGCACGAGATGAGAGTCTTGCACCACTCACTTTTACGACTTGGCATTATGTCCCACAGCAAAATAAAGATAACATATGGAGGGAGATAAAGGTAATCCAGATATTTAATATGAAATAAGTTGAAATGCATATTACAATTGGATTCCATATGAAATGCATATTACAAGTGTAGTTGACATTGCATATTACAAGTGTGTATAATTGTAATGCAGGCTCATACGAATGCAGATGATTCCATGAAGAGAACAATAATGACTTCATTTGGGAAGAAATGGAGAGATTGGAAAAGTCGCGTGAAAAATATGGGATACACACCCTTCAAGAATGATGCAGAAAGGTTGGCTCATCGACCGGATAGAGTACATGAGGATCAGTGGCGGGCCTTGGTCTACCACTGGGGCACTCAGAGTGCATCGGTACAATTTTATTTATGTGAAAAAATGTTTATATATGATAATTTTTGATAATATCTCAAATGAATTTCATATTTAACAGAAATCAAGTAAGAAGAATAGAAAAATTCGGAAGAAGAAGACACTGCATCATCGAACAGGCCGAAAGCCTTTCTCAATAGTTCGAGTGGAGGTATAATTAGACATTACATCTTGGACATATTTTGAAATTTGTTAAGTTTTTAAGTTAAACAACTTATAACTTAGCTAGCTCAACTTATAACTAAACTAAATTAAGTTTAGTATGTATAAGATTGAAGATTGAAATTTATTATCTTTAAAATTCATCTTCTCATCTTTGTCTTACATGTTTTGTTTTATCTATCTTTTATTTACAGGAGACAAAGAAAAACAATGGGGTTCCTGCTAGTCGGCCACAGGTGTGGATGGCCGCATACATGAAAGATGGTACTTCCAATAGTGATTCAGTTAATGAAGTTATGGTATGTGATACTACTTTATTAGACTTTTAATATGATTTATATTGGATGCTAATTATTGAATTCAAAATTGCAGACTCAAATGAATGAGCTAACGAAGCACATGGAGGGATCTTCTTCAGACCCTGATGCATTAAATGAACAGATTTTCACACAAGTTATGGGGCCGGAGCGACCTGGTCGTGTTCGGACGTTTGGATTGGGACCATCCCCCACCGATGTTTTTGGAGGTAGATATAGGCAGTCACAAGAGCAGAATCATATCTTCCAAACTCGAGTTCAAGAACAAGTTGAAGAGCAACTTCAACGGTATCAAATGCAGTTAGAGTCGAAGATGAATGACGTAATGGAGAAACAAATTCAAGCTATACGCGCAGATTTTCAGTCACGAATTGAGATTTTGGAATCTCAATTGCAAGCTGCGGGCGTGCCCGTTGCACCAGCTGTTGCACCCTCGAACCCATTACATAGGCAGCAGGTATTTTCATTATTTTTACTAGTTATTAGTTTAAATTGCCCAGAGCTACTATACAACTTAAGCCTCTTATTGAATGATAGGTTGTTGATTCACTTAGTAGTCATCCCACTGTACGGCCAATGTCACATCAACAACAATCTCATGCATTTTCATCCCAAGAGGTGAGCAATCATTTAATCAAAGTTTTTTTTGACAATACAATATCTTATTAATTAAAATACTTGTTCTGATTAAATATAGGTTCACCTTTCAAAGAAAGAGAAGAAGAAGAAGAAGAAGAAGAAGAAGAAGAAGAAGAAGAAGAAGAAGAAGAAGAAGAAGAAGAAGAAGAAGAAGAAGAAGAAGAAGAAGAAGAAGAAGAAGAAGAAGAAGAAGAAGAAGAAGAAGAAGAAGAAGAAGAAGAAGAAGAAGAAGAAGAAGAAGAAGAAGAAGAAGAAGAAGAAGAAGAAGAAGAAGAAGAAGAAGAAGAAGAAGAAGAAGAAGAAGATAGAGTACATGAGGATCAGTGGCGGGCTTTGGTCTACTATTGGGGCACTCAGAGTGCATCGGTAAAATTTTATTTATGTGAAACAATGTTTATATATGATAATTTTTTATAACATCTTAAATAAATTTCATATTGGACAGAAATCAAGCAAGAAGAATAGAAAAATCCGGAAGAAGAAGACATTACATCATAGGACAGGCCGAAAGCCTTTCTCAGTAGTTCGACTGGAGGTATAATTATTCTCTCCATTCATCCTTTTCATTCTTTGTCATCTATAGCTGTCTATATGTGCTAAAAAGGTGTCAACAATTTGCACCATAATGAATTTATACCAGTTCTACAAAAACAGATGTTATTTGCTTAGTTGTTTATTTTATTTACACTTGTTCACATATTTAATTGCTTAATTATTTAATTTTCTTATTTATCTTAAGATTTTGGTTGTCTTTCATTTATAGGAGACCAAAAAGAACAATGGGGTTCCTGCTAGTAGGTCACAGGTGTGGATGGCTGCATACATGAAAGATGGGACGTCAAATAGTGATTCAGTTAATGAGGTTATGGTATGTGATACTACTTTATTAGACTTTTAATATGATTTATATTGGATGCTAATTATTGAATTCAAAATTGCTGACTCAAATGAATGAGCTAACGGAGCACATGGAGGGATCTTCTTCGGACCCTGCTGCATTAAATGAACAGATTTTCACACAAGTTATGGGGCCGGAGCGACCTGGTCGTGTTCGGACGTTTGGATTGGGACCATCCCCCACTGATGTTTTTGGAGGTAGATATAGGCAGTCACAAGAGCAGAATCATATCTTCCAAACTCGAGTTCAAGAACAAGTTGAAGAGCAACTTCAACGGTATCAAATGCAGTTAGAGTCGAAGATGAATGACGTAATGGAGAAACAAATTCAAGCTATACGCGCAGATTTTCAGTCACGAATTGAGATTTTGGAATCTCAATTGCAAGCTGCGGGCGTGCCCGTTGCACCAGCTGTTGCACCCTCGAACCCATTACATAGGCAGCAGGTATTTTCATTATTTTTACTAGTTATTAGTTTAAATTGCCCAGAGCTACTATACAACTTAAGCCTCTTATTGAATGATAGGTTGTTGATTCACTTAGTAGTCATCCCACTGTACGGCCAATGTCACATCAACAACAATCTCATGCATTTTCATCCCAAGAGGTGAGCAATCATTTAATCAAAGTTTTTTTTGACAATACAATATCTTATTAATTAAAATACTTGTTCTGATTAAATATAGGTTCACCTTTCAAAGAAAGAGAAGAAGAAAAAGAAGAAGAAGAAGAAGAACTAATAAGGTAAAAGTACTAACATCACTAGTTTAAGCTGATAATAATATTCATAAATCAATAGTTTATCTTTTATCTTGACAAGTTTTCTATTTTCTTTTCTTTTATCTTGCCCTTTATTTTTCTTTCTCCCTTTTTTTTCCCCATCCTATTTGTAGGAAGAAAGAAGAGGTTGTGGCGACAAAACAAAAAATGACACCAAACCATCACCATATGCATTCTTTAAATAACTTATTAGTTTAAAGGGGTAATATGGTCATTTTGAATAGAAAAGTAACGGTGTTTCTAATAAATGAATGGATTGGGAGAATTAACGGTGAACCTATATAACGGTGTTTCATCGACTAGAACAATGGAAACGGCGTTAAATAGGATGTTTGAATAGAAAAGTAACGGTATTTCAAAACTACCAACCTCCATTAAATTACTCTCTCTCTCCCCCTCTCAGCAGCAGAGTGAGGAGAGAGGGAGAGAGAGAGAGAGAGATACAGATCACTTCTGGTGGAGGTCCATTGTTGTGTTATGACAAGAACAATCGATTCCGCCAATTAGAGAGAGAGAGAGAGAGCTTTATTTTTCTGAGGAGTAATTTAAAGAAGAAAAGAACAACCGAAAGTCCTGGAAATCGCTGAGAGACGCAGTTGTTGAACCCATACGTGTAAATTTGACTCCTTTTTCGATTTGAGGAGAGAGAGAGAGAGAGAGAGAGTTGGTAGTGCACACCAATTGAAATCGTTGAAGAATCAGCTGTGGTTGGTCAAGTAGATTGGACATTTGGAGAGAATGAATCTGGTACTTCCAGTCACTAGCCTTCTCTCATTGTTCCTCAAAATGTAATAAAACCACAAGAAGTAGGTACACATAGAGAGAGAGAGAGAGAGCTGTTTACAGAATAGAGAAGAAGAGCAGAGTATCACAGCTTCACTACAGAGAAACACCTAGTCAATGTCAATTCTAAAATTGCACTGAGTTAGGGTTTTCAATTGGGGAAGCCCATTAAATCCTAGTGAAAGTTGCAGATTAGAATTCATGAGTGAAAGAAGAGTACAGATCACAGTTGAGCATCATTAAGTTAAGTTTTAGATTTTTTTCCCCCCTGAAATATGGGAACTGAAATTTGTTCTAAAGCACATACTTGGAATCTCTGAAGATTAGTTAAAAGTCAGGGAATTTGAGGAAGCAATTGAATTTAGAGTGTACAGTTTGTAAGAAGAAAATTATCTGGAGAAATGGCAGAAAATGGAGCAGAAATGCGGTCTTTGGCGTTAACACCAACATGGTCTGTGGCTTCTGTCTTGACAGTCTTTGTTGCTGTTTCCTTGGTGGTGGAGCGATCCATTCACCGCCTAAGTAATGTAAGTCGAAATTCGGCATTTCTTATTTTCTATCATCTTAGCTCTGAATCTTTGATTTTTATGCAAATTTACCAAACAAAGAAGACCCATTTGTTGCTGCCAATCGCAAGTAATTAGAGGATGAGCATTGTTGAGTTGTTGTTTGTGTGTAATTTTTTCGATGATGATGACTTCAGGATTGGATTTTTTTTTGTGATGATGATGAACTTGGATTTTCATGTGATTGGTTTTAATCTACATGTACCATTTCCCTTTCAGCGTATTTTCTTGCCTTTTTTTGTATTCATTGCGAAATTAGTTCAATATGTTCACTGTAGTATCAATAAACTTATGAAGATGAATCACTTTTGGAGCTTGTTCTGATGAGCTTATGTTCCTTCTTTCATTCCAGTGGTTGCGGAAAACCAATAGAAAGCCTTTGCTTCAAGCAGTAGAGAAAATGAAAGAAGGTATTTGGCATTAATTTCTATGTTAATCCTCACAAAATTTATGTTTTCGTATGCGTACTTTTTTGGTAATTGTCATCTTGAAGCTGCACTTATTGGATTTCTATCTTCAGAATTGATGTTACTAGGCTTCATATCTCTCCTTCTCACGGCTACGTCAAGCATTATATGGTGAAACACCGTTACTTTGCTATTCAAAATAACAGAATTGAATACAGGCCCCTTACTACTGTCAGCAGCCTGAGTTTCACCATATAATGCTACTGTCAGCAGCCTAAATTGAATACAGGCCCCTTACTACTATTCAAAATAACAGAATTGAATACAGGCCCCTTACTATTCAAAATAACAGAATTGGAAGTTAAATTCTATTCCACCTGTTTCCTCGTTGTTTCCTTGTGCAACTTCTGTATCTAAATCTAATGAATTCCAATTCATTTGACTGTCATGCAGGCCCCTTACTACTGTCAGCAGCCTGAGTTTTGATTACTTGCAAAACCATTGATTGACAATTTAGATGGGAAATCTCTGTATAACAGAATTGAATACAGGCTAGCCAGTACTTTCTCCATAGCTGAAAAGGGTTACCTACTATTGTATCCATGATAGCCCCCTTGGTCTTGGACTCTCTTATATTTTTGGAACCTTATCAGCATAGAAGTCTTAAAATTTTGCTGTTCCAAATTATTTTGTCTGTGATTTTCTTTTCTATTAGGGAGTGAAGGATAATACTAGTTGACTTTCGTTTATCATATACATACAGTTCAGTCATATTGAGTTCATTGAGACTGTGCTTTCTTCTTTTTATTTTTTGTCAAGTGATTATTTTATGCTTCATTTATTATTTCAATGGGAGTTATTGTATTTGAATGGAAGTTGGATATTAATTGAATAAGAAACTGAATTAATGTTTCGTTTTTTGTTATTTGAAACAGGTATTTTTTTAATTCAATCAAATAAAAATTAGTACAATTTTTTTTTTTAAAAAAAAAGGGGATATGACGGCGTTTCTACAAACGCCTTCTATACTGTCAATTTTTTTTGAAAACAGATACCACGGCGTTTCACAACGTCGCTAAATATTGTTGGTGACGTCAGCAAGTGTATAGTGGGACATTTGGCGGCGTTTATTAAAACGCCTCCTATACTAATATCACGGCGTTTTTAAAACGTCGCAAAGATACAGCGACGGCCGCAGCTTCGACGTTTGGTACAAAACGCCACTAAAAGAATTAGCGGCGTTTTTTATAGATATAGCGGCGTTTTTTAAACGCCACTAAAAGTCCAACTTCCAGCAGTGACTATATTTGCATTTGTTCAGTTTATCGTATAGTTCTTTGCAATGTTTGTGCATAAAAGAATTCTGCCTTAGATTTTTCCTTTCTTTTGGAACACATTTTGTTCTCCTACTTGGAAAGAATTGACTGTCTCGTAGGACTACTCATTTTTCTTATATATTATTTAGTACCATGTTTGTTTGACATAATATGCTTATAGTCTGATCAATTTGTTGAGGAACCCATCCATCGTGAGTGATTGATCAAGTCTAAAAATTATACACAAATATTCTGATATAATCTTTTTCTTAGTGGTTTGATCAAGTCTAACAACTATACACCAATAATCAGGTACAATCTTTTGCCTGTAATATTTATACTATATTATATGAATTTAGCAGAGAGAGCTGAAAGTGAAAGTTTTATGAGTTTGCTATTTGCTAGTAATTGCTATTTTCCTTTCTTTTGCACACACTATTTACCCCTTTTTTTGTTTTTGTTTTTTTTACTAATAAACCCCTATGAGTTGATTACAAAGTTTATATGCAGGAGGCATGACCTTACCGAGGGCTTAAAGAAGTTACCATGCAAAACACTCATTTTTGTGGGTGATTGCAGTCCATTCCATACTGAATCAGTGTATATGAATGCCAAGATGGAAAAAAAGATATGCGCTCTTGTTGAGGTTGGTCTTTCTCCTCACTTTTGATTTTCTCTCAATTAGTGTGATACATTTTTTTTGTGTGAATTTCACCTTGCTCATGCTCATCACAGTAGCAACTAAACTTACCTAACAAGCTCGTGTTTTTTTTTCCTCGTTGAGTACCCAAATACCACATAAAATATATATTGTCAACTATCTAAATGGTACAGGATTCTAAGACCACATGTTCAAATTCTTGGACAAGAAACATTCCCCATCAGATATGTTTGGACTAATGTCCAAAACCTACCTACAAAGTTGAAACTCCAAGTGAATGTAATTCAAGAAACGGTTAGCAACTTCAGTACAACATTACTAGTTACCTATTTTGCCTCGGATCATTAGGAATAAGTTTGTATCTTTCAACTGGTTAGTTTCTTATTATGAATAATGATAGCACATTGTGGGATGATTTTATTTATTTATATTTTATTTTTTGTCTATAACAGGTTCAGTCATGTGGCTCGCTAGTGACAGAAGAACACCCATACGCAATGTTGATTCCCATTGAATTCTTTTTAATGGGGTTTGGCTTATACAGGCAACAACAACCTTTATCTGCAGCGTCAAGTGATGGATCAAACCCTGCCAAACCTCCTAGCCTGGCGTATTCATGCATAGCACCAGAGCTGCTCTCCCCTGAAAGCTTAGGGATCAAGCTTAAACCTATTAAAACCCGCGCAACCATTGAAATTTGATAGAGTAGAAATGCCTCTCTCCCTGCTTCACCTCATTTAATCAGTGTTGCATATTTTGGCAAGCCACAGAAGCAGAACCACAGCTTTGCACGTAAATATACAACCATGTTAAGTATATAATGTCTCCATGGTAGCACATTCTTTGATTGGTTTTTGTGTTCATAGGGAGAGGATTTGTGTTCAATTAGGCTTCAGTGAATGAATTCTTTCTAATCAAGTGTAGATAAAGCAGATGAGAGATATTGTAGTTTGAGGGGTAGAGGTATTCTTTTTGAGCATGAAATGTTTGCACACATCGATGATGACTACTTTGTAAGTTTAACTGTTCGTTTATAATAAAGTCCTTTTATAGAAATGAGGGGAATTCTTATATTTAGATGTGGTTTGGTAACACCCCCTCTTCACTCCACAGCTAAAAGCCGAAATAACAAATCAACGCAAATAATAATAATGATAATAATTAGGTGTGTGATATAAAGTAGCAGGGATGTTTATTTTTTTATTTTTTTACTACTAGAAAAAAAATTGTCCAAAATGTCATGTCTCCAAATTTAAGTAAATAAATAAGAGAAAACTAATTAACCAAAGTTTAATTACATAATGAAAGTCCTCTTTTTATCCCTTATTCATTTCTAAAATTTCACCTTCAGCATTTACTTCATTTGATGTCATTTAATTTCCAAGACAAGTTCATTCAGTTACAATTGGAGTCCATTTGGAAAAGCATGCTTGGTTGTGTTTTTTTAAAAATACTTTTCAGAAAATTTTACTTTCTTGTTTTTTGTGTTTTTTTGTTTTTACTGAATTTTTTTAATATTTTAAGCAATTTTTTTTACTTTTTAGACATACCTAACATAAATATACCTAAAAAGTACAAAATTTGTGAAATTTTTTTTTAAAAATTCACTAAATACCAAAAATATAAAAAAAAATACGAGAATTCAGTACATTTTTTGTATTTTTATGTATTTGTTAAAATTTTAAAATATTTTTCACAAATTTTTTATTTTTTAGATACATCTAAGTAAGGTGCATCTAAAAAAGTAAAACAAAATGTTTAAAATTTTAAAAATATTCACTAAAAACAAAAAAATACGAAAACCAAAAAACTGGGTTTTTAAAAAACTCAATTCAAAAAACTTAAACCAAATACACTGAATTATTTTAATTGATTTTTTTAATTTTATAAAAAAAAAAACATGTAAAAAAAAAATAGAGAAATGTGATTAAGTGTTTTTGACTTTTTAACTATTTTAATTAAAAAAAAGCTAACATGGGCTCTCGTATCCATTCTCACAAAGTTGAGCCAAGTCCCTATCGAATAGATGAAGTGCAGGAGGTACCAACTAGAATGCTATACGGTCTTGCTATGGTTACATTAAATGCACCATACATCCAATTATGAGTCAGTGATTTTGGTTATGAAATGTGTAGTGTTATGATTATGAGATGTGTGGTAACGGTTATGAAATATGTAATATTAGTATTTTTTTTTTTCTCAACATTTTATTATTGGCAAATTACGTTTTATCCCTTTCAACTATCATCATTTTTTATTGTACCCCTATCAAACTAAAAATCGAGACAATGTAATCCTTGTATTTCTATTTTGTTAACAAAACAGATTAAAAATATGCATATAAAGTGCACGTATCATATTTATGACGAAAAATACCTTTTAAAGATTGAATGTATATATGGAAAAAAATAAAATATGAAGAAATCAGTGACATATTACCCTACCAATAATACGGAAATCAGATTCTTATTTAACGAGCACCCACTAGTTTGATTTAATCTTAAATATGAACATTATAAATAATTTACAAACATCTTTCGAAAATTTGCATGATTGGCACACAACTGAGAAGGGGAAACCTTCTCTTCTTTATTGAATTCATATGATACAAACATTACATTTAGTTACCAGTCATTTCAGCACATGATGATAACATTATTTATAATTATAACATGCTTACTAATTTACAGGGGAAAGCTTCCCATAGGGAAAATTATTTATTACACACTGCCATATGAAAGACATTAATACTCCACGCACTACAAAAGATATCATCATGTATGACTGGGTCGCAGATCGCAACTTCTTAGGCCTTGGCTGTGGCTAGTGTCACTGTTGCATCCACATCTACGCGGTTTTTCATATCATTACTAGGAATAGATGTCATAGATGACTCGCAACCATTCCATTCAGATGCACTGGTGGTGCCAGACTTGCTCAACTCTTCATGGACACGATCCCAAATAGGGTCGTTGGAGTTTGGCTTATAGTGACCCGGTCCAATAATCTCAGTAAAGACCTACAAGTATAATAAGATTTTTTT